AAACAAAGCAGTGATCTCACTACTATATTGAATCATTTGTGTACCTCTGGGTAATTTATTTTAAATCCACCGCATCCAAAATGAAATTTTCACATATTTCTACGGCATATGCACTGCTATTTAAAGAGCAACGAAAGTCCAGTCCAAACAAGCCGAAATGAAATATCGGCCAGACCAAACTAGCGTATCCGACAACCGACACATAATATTAATATTTTATTAGTTCCCGTTTTTGTTTGTTTTATTCTATATATGATCTACCAAAAGCCCGCGCAGTGTCGTGTCCATATAATCCAGTAATTTGTATCTGTCTCTGTTGTTCTGTTTAGGCAAAATACCTTCAATATATAAAGAGATTTTGCAGAAGAAGGAATGTCAGCCGTCTGGGAATCCACATTATTTTCTCTCGTGCTCACTTATTTAGTTTATAATTAGTGGTATATATTACCACGACGCATTCACGGTATTTCGATTCGACGGGATAACTCAATATTATAATATAGTTTATGAGAAACGGAAAGTTTTTACTTTTGCGATCACTTCCGTATTTTTCGGAATTTGTTACGTATTGAAATTAAACAGTCATTTCAAAAATTGTAAATTATAGTTCTCTAACATCTCTATAATTTTAAATTGGACCATTACAAATAGAGGGCTCTCTTACTCAAGTTACTCAGAAATCTGTATTGTGTAATAACGTTGCATGCATTCTATTACACAGCTGAGAAAAAGATTGAACTTATAATCAGTAATAAGCAGCACCTGTGCCATTGTTATCAAGAATATTAACCTGATGCTAACAATAATATATAGCAGATTGTGGGCTTCTTTACGTAAGGTGCCTTTGGTGTCTGAAGGAAAACGCTTGTGGTGGGGCTTGAGAAAAGGGTTAGATAATTGGATTACTGAGGTTGTTTGTCGTGAAATGTATTTTATACCTAAATAAAAAACTTTAAGGGTTTCTTTAACCGTCGTTTCATTCGTTAATAAAATATATAAGCTTAGGTATGTCTATATTTATTTTCAATGCCTTGAGTAATCTAGTAAACGTTACGCTCATCAACGTCTTATCTACTAGGAAACCGATACCCGTGGAGTATATCCAATGGTTCCGCCGACACGCATCGAAGATTTAATTGCAGTGCCAATGGCGCGGTCTGGCCACTAATGCAATGACACAGATCCAATCTCACTAGATACAGATTGCATGGCTATTGTATTTGTGAAGTTATCTTTAATAGAACACTTGGAGAGCTAATAGTGATAGACAGGTGTGTATGCGGAACGGAAGAGTCTGATTTCTTATTATAGTAAATATTATTTTATTATTTATCCTATACTTTTTAATACCTGTATATATAATTATCATTTTTATACATACAAATTATTTTTGATTTATTAATTTTTTCATTTTTTATTTATTTAAATTACCATTTATTCTAATGATTATAAATAATGTTTACGGCTTTTATTTTTTTTATTTTATTTTAATCGTCTTTTTACGTATTGGTTTTATAAAGCAGAAAATACACACATGTTATAATAAAGATAAATTTATTATATGACAATATTTATTTTAATTGTGTTTATTATTGCATTTGTAACAGTCATAAATTAAATCGATATTGCATGTAAAGTAAGTGACATAGAAGTTATGGTTACCTGACCACTGAACACTGGTTCATTGACTAACAGATAATCGGCTTACTATTGTATGACTAGAGTTACCAGTTGTGAGGATTTGTCCTGATATTTTATAAAGTGCAAATATAATTGGAAATCAACAATAAACAATGCAACTACGTACAAATGTTTTAAATAATATACATAACGATGTTCCTAACAAGAAGTGAATGACACTGCTTGGTTACGTCTTCTTATTTACTGTGGTTAACATTATTACGTTATGCGAATCTTCAGTTTGCAGCGTCATCAAAAAGGTTTTTAATTTTGAAAAACGTGTTTAAAGCTTCAGTATTATTAAACCAATTAAATTATCACGAATATAGAGATACAATTTTTCTTTTAATAATCCAAACTTGTGTTTGATCAAATTGTTCTCATATTAAACAAAACATTCTGTTGACACAGATGTTCAACATTATGTAAAGTCGAAACCATTAATTAGGTATAATGTTGCAACAACAATTATTTTTCACTTGCAACACGTATTATCACATCAATATCAAAATATTCGTGTAAAATAAAATTACCTGTGATCCTGGATCTTATTCTTGTATGATCAAACATTGGAGTTAAGGTTTGATGCCAGATAACGACCTTGTCTTCGTTTTGATTTTACACTTTCCGTGCAAGGTAGTGCTGGATAGTCACGAATGTTGTGCCATTTACGGTAACAGTCTCTCCAGTTGTCGATTCAAGCTCACGCAGCACCATATGGCCGTGCAGAGCCGGTCAAGGCCAAGAGCCGATCATTCTGGGTCGACACTCAAGTGGCTGGTATTTTGTTAGTGTTTACTCAAAGTATTTGTAACTATATTAAATACCTAATGTCATTTTTGAAAAAAAAAAGAAACATCAACGTCTGTATTAACAAAATAAATAGGACACCATTTTCATTGAATTTTTTTTTGAAATTATTAAACGACGATTAAAACCATTTTCGGCAAAGATATCACGATGAAACATTACAATACTTACAATGAAACATTCAATCGAGAACCTTATTCTATTTTAAATTGCTTAAAAAGAACGAATCGTCGATCGTTAAGTTTACGATAATTTTGTTTTCTGCTAGTGATTACGTTATTGTGCTCACAAGTACGAAAGAATCTAATAATGGTAAATGGAGAGGGAATGATTTCAAATAACAGCTGTCTGCATTCTCATCAGCCAGTTTTCCCGTCATTAACTGGATTAATAATCTTTGAACGTTGACGACACAGATTTAAATCGAATTGAATCATGTTTCAGTCAGGAGAGGGCTTTCCGTGTTGTAATGGACATGTAAAATAAAATTTCAGCTCGTGTTTTATTTTCGTATACAGTTTAACTGGACAGGAAATTGCTGTCTGCAACCTTGATGGATTGACCCTTACCTGAGATTCAATTATATTTCAGTTGATATTTCGCTGGTGTAAATGTTTTTATGTCGTACAGTTACCAAAAAGAAAAGCTATTGACAATATTATTAATTCTGCACCATAAATTGTCATTATCTGACTTGCATATTTTACAATTTTTAAAATAGGTAAGTACCCGATTTCTGGCTTGACTCTATATTGCCAAGTTACAGATATAGTTAAAGGGTGGACATGTTTATAAAATCCGTCTCAAATGTCTAAAGCTGAAATTTGTTTTTGATAAGGAGGTAGATTCTTGAACAACTGATTATATTCATTTAACTGTTAAGCGCATTGATATTTTAAGCATTCCTCTAACGACTTCTTCTGTTATACATTTTGTATGTAATTATTTCTGTCGAATTCAACGAACCAAGGAGAGCCGTAATATCGTCTATGTAATATGCAGAGAAGACTTCTAGCGGCAAATCTGTTATTCCAACTAAGTACCTATTTCCAGATCGAAAATGCAGCTTGCGCATCTGATCAATCTCTGTTATTGTATGCAGTATTGAACCTACCAAGCATGACGAATTGCCAATTTGTCCACGATTATGGAATCTAATAATCCCTTAATGGGTTCATAATATCAGATTGGAATATTATTATAAGGCAAACAGGTCTCGCAGTTGTTTTTCTGTAGTTAACGTTCTACGAAGCGTAAACCTGTGAATTAGATTCTTTGAAGATTTATTCTAATTTTTTTTTTAACTAAATACCCCCACTATAAAGGTGGTAATAGTAGGCTAATGAGATTGATAGAGCTAGGGAGATATGAGTGTACAGCAAGGTGTTATGTCAAGCCAATTGTGAAATATTATATATTGTCATTTATATCGTAATCGTCTATGTTGGAAAAGACCTTGACTGATGTATTATGTCAACTTACTTTAACAATCCGTTATATGTAAAAAAAGGAAAAAAAGGGAAGAAACCCTCTTTTTTACTGTTAATTTTTGGAACCCTACAGCAATGGTGTATTCGTAGAGAGTTCTGCATGAGCAAAATTTCCTTTTTTTTTTATAAATTCTCGGACAATATGCAAACTGGATTTATTATATACTAGTATTTCGCCCATTACTTTGTATGCATGGATTTCAGAAGTAAGAAAATCAATTAAATATACTATTTCTAGATGATGTATCAAAATAAAACATACATCAGATTTTAAGTTCAGTTCAGGAACACAACTGTGAAAACCTCATCCAATTTGGTGCAGTAGTTTTTACATAATGCCAGAACAAACATACAGACAGGCAGAAAGAAATTCAAAAAAATATTTTTTGGCTTCTATTGGACTTATTTAAATCAAAACCATATTTCACATCAATTTTTTTTTTTAATATCTCTCATGTACAGCCGTCATCTAGTTACAGTTCTATTAAGGAAGGTTCTTGTCAGTGTTTTCTTCTTTTATATACATTTGGTGTTTTCATATAAATTTTAATATAAATACATATGCAAATGTAATGATCGTGTATTGCATAAAATTTTAAATTTATAATTTTTCACTGTTTCATGCACATACTGCCAATGTTTATCAGAGAACGATTCTTTTTGTATGCCGCCATCTATATGCTCCCTGCTGCAATTCATTCATTCCAGCTGTTAACTATCCACTGCTGGACATAAGCAGCTACAATATGATAATATAATTAGTTTTAGTTAGCTGTAATCTTATTTAAGTGAATACTTATATTCTTTTGGCAAATAAATATCTTAAATTGTAATATTTTACTGAATGCCAAGTTTAATTCGCAAGCTTCGAGCAATTGCTATCTTGGTCATGCTTGTTTTTACACGCCCTCCACAGCCGCAGCTGCATCGATGTTAATCAAGTGTCCAGCGTGCAGATATAGCTTTGCCATGTGAAGGCGACGCTTCATATGTTTGAAATTGGTAACGGGGAAAAGACCATATGAATTGTCGGCTTGTTTGCAGAGCTACACATATGGTGGCGCGCCGCCGCCGCGCCCCGCGGGTCGTAGTCGCCATGTCTTTCTTTTTGGTAGTGTCGTTCAGACGTGTCTATGCTATTGACGTGCTGTCGTTATATATATATTTAATTACGTTGTGTCAATAAGTGTTCGAACGCAGTCTGCTAGTGAAGTGTACACTGATAAGTGATAAAAAGTTTATGTGAGCATCAGGTAAAGGTCACTTTTCTATTGAAAGTAGCTCTACTATTTTTTTTTCGATATATATTTCTTATTTATAAATAATATTGTGTAATTAGTTGGTCCGCAATGTCGTCCGTGTGGAATAAATTAATAATTTAAACATATTGTTAATATTTAAAACAATCCCTTTGATCGTATAGGATAAATTTAACATTAATTAGTTTTGAATTTATATTACATTGGGATTCCCTACGTAATTAAAAGTTAAATTAAATTTAATAAATATCATGTATTTTAAATTACCCGTACATACCAAATTTTACAGACTCGGCAGGTATATCCATATTTATATGAAAGAAAGAATTTGAAAAAGTGAACTTTTTCACTAGTATCGCTTATTTTACATCGTCAATACCGTTTCTAAAATCCATTTTGTTAACAAAATAATTTTATAATTTTAGCTTTGTTATAATTTTTATTGTATGTATTTACAATACAAATATTGGAAACATGTTATGCTTATATACCTAGTAGAAAATTTCCGTATTATATATATGTTTTTTTTTTTATTATAATACATATAATTATTTTTTATCTTTGGTAATAATGTTTTATTTGAATGTTGATAATCAGAAAGTATTATAAATTACTATCGGTTTTTATCATTATGTCGTAACATCAAAAACATAATCTTTAGATAAACTCCAATTTATTTGTTTCAACTGTCTTCATTCCTACTTTCTTATATAGGACTAAAAGCCCGCTTAATTGACAAATAAACAAATTCAATTGCTATTAGATTTCATATAAATATAACTTTTATCAACACAATCTAATAGTAGATATAAGTAAGTAACATAATATAACATTTAACATTTCGTTTCACAACATCTTTACAGCCACTTGACCTATCTGTTACTTATCATAGCCTCTCTGTGACAGAAACAGTGACTTGACATTTGTTGTGCCTTACTAGATTTGTGTTTTTTCTTTTAATATGAAACAATTTATATTTACAATTGTGAGTTTATGAAGATTTTTGCCTAATTGGATGTTTGATGATAATATTTTCCTGTTACTTTTCATTGACTTCTCCCATTTATGACGTTTTTGTGCTACAATTTCTTGATCTACGAGCAGACCAGCAGCCTTTTTTTTCCAACTGCTCGTTTCCGGACTATAATAATAATGGAGGAAAAGGAATTGTTAGTCATGGAATCTAATAGCCCCATTGCAAGCAATATACCCCATCAGGGCGACATCCACGCGGTTCCCTCTGGAAACAATCGTAGTTAATTCTTGTGAAATTCATCACGATGGGCTAACTGACCTGCTTTCCATCCTCATCTATAATCTCACTGGTGTCTCGCTACCGTAGATATACCAATAGCGCGGAAGAGATTACCATTTCTTTGTCATCTAATAAAAAAACAGATCGCTTTCATGATGCTCTAGCCGGCCTTTTATTCTCCAATCTTCTTGCTACTCAAAACCCTACGTAATATGTCTACATAGCACATGTTCAAAATCCATTTTCTTATAAGGATCTCTTGGTTAGTAGGTTTCTAGTCTGTTAACTCCTACAGTTTCATATTTAAGAGGGTTGGAAAGAGTAAATTAATAAAATTGGCAAGGGCACAAAAAGGATTTATCTCGTTTGCGCTCAATCAATTTTCTCTTGTTTATCTAAAAATTTCGGGAAATCTTTCTTATTCGGCATAAATAACTTCAATAAAGCCTTGTTTGTTTGATATTATCTTGCGCAAAATTTGAGACATTTTGCAAACCACAAGTATGAAAATAAACCGTTACCCTCACTTTACCAAAATTTTTGTCGATTAAACCTATTAATTAATTAAATTGATTAAAAATAAAGTTACGACTACATGTATATCGAAACACTGTAAACATGACACCTATAAATGCTCTACAAATATTATAAAAGTATAATGTTATGTATAAACACCGTGTAAGAATGAAAGTTTTGTAAGTAGTAAAAATGAATGGCACCATGTAATTGAACATTCCCGTCTCGTCGGTACAAATCGAGGGTGCCAATGTGGGGGAGATACGTGTGTGCTAGAATAATAAAACTGTTGGCTCCCACAACACTAGCTTGCTCCGTACAAATATTTAACGCTGTCCGCGAGATTTATACGTTTCTGTTTAAGTTGTTAAATCGATATATCGTGGTTGATGTGTCTGTTAATTTATTTTATTACTCCTGTGTCATTGTTTAATATTATATTATATCATTGATTTGTAATCATATTGTATTAAAGCCGAAATAATTTAAATTGGTATTTTATTTATGTATATTTTAAAAATAAAAATAACAATTTATGTAATTAATAATATAAAAATGTAAACTATGGGTAATATGAAAATGATATAATAGTTAAGAGAACACAATAGAATAAAGAAAATGGGTTCTTAACACGATTATATAGCTGAGATCGCCAGTGAATTCGCGACGCAATGTCATTTAAATAAATGAGTAATCATAGTAATAATTTGAGAAAGGTGTTAAAAGTTCAACATGATTAGACAATTCTCTAAAAAAAATATTTAATTTTCAATTCTGTAGTTATGTAATAATTTATACTTCCTTTTGTCAAAGAATATTTACACACAGAGTGCAAGCTCTAGGTAATCTTTGCCTGTTTACTATAAGCATAAACAATGGGGCCAATTCTAAGGTGCCATCTCTAAGATGCACTCTCTCTAAACTTATCTCATTCTATGTTTTAATTTGATAATTTTGCGAAATTATTGTTTTATTATAATTTTAGTGGTCCACCATAATGAACTATTGTCGCATTATTCATATCTATTAGCAATGGTCACTTCTTTCCAAATTGACCACTGGGTGAAAAATATTTACTGCGTACATAGGTCCTCCGTACCTACTTATATAATATATATATAAATATAACGCGTTGAATGTCTTAAGAAATAATAATCATAATGCCACGTGATCCCGGCATAAATTGGGCCACCCATTCCTTTCGCGTGAGTGTCGTAAGAGACGACAACGGAAACTTAATGATCGAGGGATGGACAGCAGCATCCCTCTTAAAACATCACCAAAGCCTAATTGCGATTGCCAACTCGTCTTCCAAGCGTGGAACTACTGGTAAAACCCCCCAATTGGGAGAGGCCTGATGTTCAACAGTGGACAGGTAATGGCTAATATGACGCTGATTATATAATGATAACATCGTAAATACATACAATTACAAATTATATAAAATACAAATGATGCATATTGCACATCAATAAATTGCCTAAGTAATTTATTACTTTTGCAATTCATACGTACATTTTCATTTAAATAATGTTGGAAGGTAAAATATTTATTTATTTAAACTTTATTGACCAATAAAATGTTGTATAAAAGGCGGAGCTAATGCTACAAGCATTCTCTACCAGTCAACCTTTAGTATGTACACAAATACTCGATGGCGGTTTAAAAAATAAAATTATATATATTTTATTATAAAATGCTAATTTATTATTATGTAGTATTAATATCATATATTTAATATAAAATACTTGTTTTGTGTGTCTTTACAACCTATCGAGGAAGTGTTAGTGCTTTATTAGTGCCCACGGCATCGTTTCATTCATTACCTATATTTATTCTAGTAATAATGTCATTGGGGCCGTAAAAATGGCGAGACAGGGGCTGGGGTGCGGCGAGATTGGGGTGGAATATGTAAAGCACGTGTGATTACCATTATTCAGTGTTTGCTCGATAATAATATTATACCTAACGCATATATCCTTACAGTTGATAGTTGATAATTAATCTCTGAAGATAAATCTTAAAAGAGTTCGTTATAATGACAGGAAGATTTATTAATTTATTAGTTAGTAGAAGTTTTATATTGTAACGTAATGCATTGTCTCTAGAACGTTCGAGATCTCTATATTTATTTATTGAACTATAACTATTGTATATAAAAGGTACAAATGGCGGGCGTAACATCAAAAGGCGTTGTCTACTAGTCAACTAAGGGGCAAACAGCGATGTTTGATAGCAGTACTTTTTTTATATATCTTTACAATTGTTTAATATAAATACCTAAAATGACATTTAAGTTCTTATATTAATAAATACAGTAAAAACAATCTATTACGTAATGTATAATAAAGTCATACCGTTTTCTGTTTAGGGTTCAATAACGATTTATTAATTATATAGTCTAAGATTCTTTATCTATTTGGTCAATGTTCTTTCTTTTTTAAGGTATTTGAATACTTCTTTAAGAAAATATAATTCCCTTAATACGTACATATTAATGCATTAATTTAAGTAAGTATGTATTAAAAGAATTATATTTACCACGCGTCTGAATTATCCTTACTAATATTATAAATATGTAAATTAGTTTATTTATTTCTGTGCGCCTTATTTATTTGTTAGTTTGTAATGGATAAACTAAAAACTACTCAACCAATATTAAAATTCTTTCACCTATAGAAAACTACACTATCAATAAGGTATCATCATATCAGTCGTTAACTGTCCACAGCTGAACATGGGCCTTCCCCTACTGGAAGGGGAGGGGGTGCCATTAATTGCCATGTTTAGCAGGCAATTTGATAAATGCAGTGGCTTTTGGTAATGTTTTAACTGCCTAACTGTCGACCATTAGGTCCCTTTTGTAGCTTCTTACGACATCTACAGGAACGGAAGGGGTGGCCCATTCTATACTGGGGCCACATGGCCACATATATAACTATGTTCAAATTATTTGTTGAGGCAGCGAATAGTGACATAAGCTATATGTTATTTCGAAATTTCTATCTGCCCGTGCGAAGTTGGGCTAGATCGCTAATAAAATACAAAATATCTTAAATGTTGATAAAATAGTTTTATAAAATTTATATTAAGAAAAAATTGTGAGAACTCTCATTAAAACTGTATAGGTATAAATTGCATTTAACGCATATATTAAAAAACTACTTCCTACATAAAGAATTACCTATTTTTCTAATCAGTAACTACTTGAAAAAAAATAGAG